CGCCCCAGCTGTGGGCAGACTGGGTCTGGGTTGCTTCTTCGATTAAGTGAAAGTACTGATAGCTCCCACCCCAGTGATTTGATGTGCGTATTCAGTGAAGTACAGACAGAGCTCTGACCACGCTGTCTGCCTCATGGAAAGTGTCCGCTCATGTATCAGCTAGAAAGGGGAAGTTAGGGGCACTCAAAATGTTCTTTTCATGTGCAGCCAAAGTCTGCTTATCAGAGCTATCACGTAGGGACTGACTGTGTTGGATAGGCCGACGCCTGCAGACAGAAGCAGGCGAGCTAAGCCGCCAGAGGCACCCAGTGCCTGGAGTCCAACCCGTGCTGGCCTTTCAGGCGCTAAACATGAGCCATATGTCCCCTCCAGGTCACAGGCCCCGTCCTCGGCTCTGGCCCTCCACCTGTTGGCTCAGAACGTCAGCAGTTCCTCCCCCAGAAGCCCAGGCCTGGGCCAGCACTGACCCACGGAGCGCTGCGCGGCTCAGCATCGCTCTGTCTTGTTTTCCAGACACTTGTCCATGTGTGTGTCCCTACTGGGTGGCAGGTCTTCAAATTCCAGACCCCAGCAGCGTCTAGAGTGTCAGGGTGCTTGTTAGATGAGTGATGGGAAACGCTGGGCTGTGTCACCTTGAAATCCCCTTTCCTTATCTTTGGCCTACGTCTGGATTGAGGACATACCCACTGAGACCTGGTCCCTTACACCCCTCGCACTTCCCAGTCCTGGGGAGGCAGGGTGACGCGTGTGATTTTCATTCCGGGTTTGCAAACAGCCTGACCCTGCTTGGTGTCTTCCCACTCACGGCAGGCTGGTTGTGGAGCCCTGAAGCAGTGTGAGCCCAGGGGCCATCTCTGTATCTAAACACATAGGATTAAGTGGAGAGACGTGGGCCCCAGTACAAAACAAAAGAAGTGAGGAGCGAGCCTAGGCCCTTTGAAAGAGGAAGGGAGGGGTCCCAGTGGAGAACTGCCCGGCTGACCGAGGGCCTGGAGCCGGGCCAGGCTGCCCGCATCCACGGTGGTGCCTGCTGTGTGCACCCCCAGGACTGGGGGCCGGCCCTCCCTTCCAGGGAGACCCTCTGTCCCTCGATGCACACCTCCTTTTTATTGCTTACTCGTTCCGCTCCATCCCCCCTCACGAAATTATAAGTGCTGGAGGGCAGAAACCAGCCCAAGTCCTCAGGACTGGCCATGCCAGCGTCTCAGAGCATCCGGGCACAGTCCCCAAGCGGATCCCCCAGTAACATCCTGGGCACCAAAGGTAGAGACCGTGCTCTCAGCACTGAGCGGAGCGCCCTTACTGTCCCCCTTTCAGAAGTGAGAAAGCTAAGGCTGAGAGGCCGTCCTGGAACTGCGCAAAGCCCCAGCTAGCCAGCCAGTGGACCACCAAGTGTGTCTGAGGCCAAGGTCCGACCCCCCCACCCCCTCCCATCCCCCCCAACCCATGCCTCCTGGAGGCCCTCCCCCCTCAGGGGTTTCCAGCCCTGGCCGGGCTGCAGAGCCCAGAGGCAAGGGACAGAGGGAGGCGGAGAGGCATCTCAGCTCGTGGCCTCTAGCTCAGAAGCCCTGTCCTCCCCGAAGCAGGCTGCCCACTGGTCAGAGCTCGCCCTGCGGTCAGTCAAGGCCCCGGGGGAGGACGCTCAGCCACCGTGTCAGGATGGAGGACAGGCTCTGGGAGGCAGGTGTTGGGCAGACGAAGCCGAGCCCTGGGCCACTGGACGCTCCCGCTCAGGAACCTGCTTCCTGGCAGGCTCTCTGGGTCCAGCTAGAAGCCGCTACGGCCCACAGGGACGACGAGGCAGGACAGCCGTGGTTACCGGGACGTTTGGAGGCAAGGTGGGACAGGGATTTCTCCCAGGGCAGCAGAAGGGATTTTTTCCCATCATTGATTTTTTTTTTTATACCAAAGTTTTATAGCAGTGCCTGAACTGCTTTGTTTTTGAAATTCAGTTTCAGATCGTTTTGTGGCTCTACTTTCTAGGTTGTAATCTTTGCTCCATCTGCATGATGTTGGCGTGGGATCTGTGATTAGGGTACAATTAGGGAGCCAATTCAGATTGTCCTGAGGGGAATAAGGAAATAGATTTTTGCTCAAGAAAAGCTAAAAGTCTGGGAGCAGCAGCTGCAGAAGGCGGATCAGGGGCCCCAGGGGTCCTGGGGGGAGGCCCCGCCCACTGGTGCTCCGTCGCTGTGCCCGTCTCCCCACAAGGTGGGAAATAGACTTACAAGTGCACCTTGCCCCACCCCTGCCCCGGGTTGCCATCCTGAACAAGAGGCCTGGGGTCAGCTCTGCCAGACAAATGTGATTGGCACAGGGCTGGAGAAATGGCCTGCATTTGTCCAATGAGGGCCCACCTACACCTTTAGGGATGTGCCCACTGGACGGACCTGGAGGGTGAGCAGTTCCAGGGAAGCAGAGGGGAGGGGTCTTCGGACACAGCAGGCCCTGAGGGTCCAGTCTTCTGGCTTTGCAGGCAGTCACCCTGCCTCCCTCTCCCTGACATGCTGCCATCTCTACCCAACACCGCGCTTTGCCTCATTGGGCACCATTTCTGGCCTGTCTCCCCTCCACTGGCCTCTCTGTCCACCCATGTCTCCATGCCAGACTGTTCTCACCACGTCTCTGCTTCGTGTGTCCGGTAGTTTGTAAGTGGGTGGTAAGTTGCTGCCTCCCTGTCTGGCACTGACCCATCGCTCTTCCTTTCCAGAGCTTTCCTGGCTATTCTTGAATTACTTGTTTCTATTTGAATTTTAGCATCGGCTTATCTGTTCCCAAGTCTTGTGTTTTGTTGGGACAAATGCCAAGCCAGGCAGGGTGTCCACACCTGCTCCTACCTGGTTCCCTCGCCTGGGCCTCCTCGCCTTCCTGGGATGCCATTTGCAGCATCCCCAGAGACTCCATGCCAGGCTTATGAGACGTGTTCCTTTTGCTCAGTGTCAGCAGGTGGGCTGCTTCGGGATTCCAGAAATGGGGGGGTCGAATGCAGGAAGGGGCCCCCATCCATGCTCTGAGCTTTGGCAAGAGAAGGCAAACCCCCAGAGTCAGGTGTGCCCCCGGTGCCCCCACAATCCAGATTCAGTGTCCATCTCCAGGCCGGAGGGGTGGGGGACACCGGGGAGAGGCATTCCAGCCCCTGGAAGTCCGTGCGGGCCAAGCCTCCGATTGGGGCAGGCCTGCCGGCTGAGGCCCCCTCTCCTCGCTGCAGACCTCGTGACCAAGGGAAACCACGGGGGCCTCAGACCAGCCCTCACAGCCCCCCAGGCTGGGCCCTGGCCCCTGCTAATGGCCCCCACCTGGCCCTCAGAGGCAGCGATCCCTACTCCCTGTGCTCAGCGAGGTACGGTGTCTTAAATGTTTTGACATTTCAAATCTGTGTTGGAGACGTTGTTCTGTTTAAATTATACCGGGCTGCGATGACTCACAGGGAATTAGTTTGTCTCCTGGGCCCAGACACAGCGTCCCCTGCACCCCTCCCTGCCCAGCCCCCAGCCCAGCAGGAGCCTCAGAAGCCTTCCCCGAGCTGCCCCTCTGCTCGCCAGCACCGTCCTCACCAAGCGAGGTACAATGGGGCCCCATCTGGGGACCGGCCTCCCGAGCTCCGTGACCGTTGGGGGAGAAGGGTGCCTGGCGGAGGCGACTGTCAGAACCCAGGCCAGCAGTGAGTGACGGGCACTGGGGCCGGCGCGTGTGGGAGAGGCCCCGCCCGAGGGCCCATTCGCCCTAGTTTAGCAGAGATTTGTTCCGATGGCACAGAGGTCTCCTCCAGCAGCCACCAGCCCTCGAGATCTCCCAGGTGGGCCCTGGAACCCGGGGCGGGTGGGCAGGGCCTCTGGAGGCCTCAGCCAGCGCCCTCAAGAGAGCAGGCGTGGGAGTCTGCCCTGCTCTGGACAGACGCCTGACCGCCAGGAGGGCCGCTGGGCCTCCCTGCCCACTGAGCAGGACAGAGGTGCTGCTGTCCTCACCTGGTGACACCATGTCTGCCGTACTGTTGAGGACCCTCAGCTCTGCTCTCGAGGGCTGTGGGCACACGGGTTAGGAGGTAGCAGGGGTGCGGCCGGGGGCCCAGGGAACCCCAGGTGGAGACCCTGGAACCTCCCAGAAGAATTGCAGCCGCCCAGCGGAGCCACCTACAACCAAAAGCTTGTTTGAACGTGAAGTTCAAAATGAACATTGGGGGCAGCCTAACGGACAGACCCGCTGCAGCATCTTGAGGGCGAGGCCACACAGGGAGCCAGGGCGCCAGACGACAGGAGCCTCAGGAAGAATAAAAAGCCAGGCGTGCTTGTGTACCGCTTGAGGCTGGCGTGCCGGTGCCCTGAGGGGCGACGCCAGGGTCTAGTCCAGCTCTGCGGGAGACCCGCTCCCCACTGCCCATCCGGGCCACCCCTGCAAAGTGGCTGCGAATGTCCGTCTCAGCCTGGCGTCCCAGCAAGGCCAGACTCAGGCTCAGACAGGCCGGGCCAAGTGCAGGCCCAGCCCCTTAGCCTGTCTGTGGCTCAGTTTCCCCAGATGCAAAGGACACGGAAGTTAGAGGGGCCAGTAAGAAGCCCTTTCCATGCACTGAGAGGCAGAGGGGTGGTGGAGGGGAAGGGCCTTCCATTTCTGTCCAAACTTGAACTGTCTGCATCCAGCGTGATGGCAGCTGGGTTCAGCCATCCTGGAGGACCAGCGCCATGCTCAGGGACGGCATCCGTGACCCATTGTCTCCAGACCTGGAAACAGAGAGCCCCCGCCCTTCACCACAGCCAGGACTCACCACACTGCACAGACTGAACCCCATGCAGAGGGGCTCCCTGAGGTGTCAAAGACTCTGTGAACCCCCTCTGAGCCAGGGGTGGGTGGGAAATGGGCAGAAAGTGGAGTGTATGGCTACCAGTCTGACCCCAAAGACCAAGCACCTTCCATCCTCCAGGCCCCAGACTCCCAGCTGGAGGGGCAGGCACCAGGGCAGCGGCCCCTGCACACCGGCCTGATGGCTGTCCTCTGTCTCTCTGCAGGTCAACACCTTCATGTCCTTCGTGTTCCCCATGGTGGTCATCTCCATCCTGAACACCATCATCGCCAACAAGCTGACCATCATGGTCAGCCAGGCAGCTGAGCAGGGCCAGGTGTGCACAGTTGGAGACCAACACAGCTCATTCAGCATGTCCATCGAGCCCGGCAGGGTCCAGGCCCTAAGGCACGGTGTTCGGGTCTTACGTACGTAACTGCTGGGCCCTTTGGGGGTGGGGGGTGGGGGCGGGTGGCAGCCAGGGGCCAGCAGAGCTGTGAGCCTCACACCACCAAACAGGGCAAAGTTTAAGACCCGGAAAATGGAGCAGTCCAAGCCAGACTCAGGGGCTGTCTCCAGCCAGGTATCTGTGCTCTTTACTCCACCCACACATCTACCTATTCATCCATCCATCCACCCACTCACCCATCTCTCTCCATCCTTCCATCCATCCATCCATCCATCCATCTCTCTCCATCCATCCACCCACCCACCCATCCACCCATCTGTCTGATCACTCATCCATTCACCGGTTCAACAAGTCTCCTGAGCATGGACTGTGGGTCAGGCAGCTTGCTCAGACAGCCATGCAGCAGCAGAGGTGGGGGTTACCACGTGAGCCAGGCACCAGGCAAAGAGGGAGACTTGAAGAGCAGCCCCCCTGTGCGGTGGCCCACATTCTGATAAGGAATCCTAAAGACCAGCCCTACCAAACTCCCAAGCCAGCCCCGGTCACGGAGAGCGCCAGGTGGAGCTGATGCTCCCGTGGGCCGCGGAGCTCCGTGTGTGGAACACCGCGTGGGTGATCCTTGTGCCCAGAGAAGGCATCCTGGGGGAGCGCTTTCTCAAACACCCTGCCTCCTGCCCCCCCCCACCGCTCTGCTGAAGGCAGCTTCACCCAGCCCCACCCTGACCACCTCCCTGTGCCTCCCCAGGCCCCCGCAGCCTTCCCAATCGCTGTCACCCTCGCCCCAGCAGTCAGGCCTCTGGGCCTCTGCCCCCGGCCACCTGTCCCTCAGTGGCCACTGGTTCTTAGAAGAAATAGGTCCAAATAGCATAGCCAATAGGAATAGGGCACAGGACCCACATAATGTGAAGTGGTCTAGTGGCCATTTAAATGTGCTGTCATGTTTAAAAAGTAAAAAGAAACATATAAAATTAATTTTAATAATGTATTAGGTCTAGGATTTCCAAAGTATCACCCTTTCAGCATTAGTCATTGTAATATTATCGATAAGAGAGCAGCGTAGCTTGCCGTGGCCTCGGGTCAAGGTCACAGCACTTGTTCTGCTGTGTCCGGGACAGGCTTCCTGGAACAGCCCCATTTCCCACTGCCGCCCGCAGCGCAGCCCCCCCTTCAGGGGCCTCCGGGGCCTGTGGGATCAGGACAGCAGCCAGGGGACCGCGGCCTCCGAACCAAGCACCTCCTGCGAGTTCCCCCCAGGCCGCAGGAAGAGAACACGCCGTCTCAGGGACAGTGCCCCCTCTGCACCGGGCCAGCCCGGGGGTTTCCAGAGTGGTTGGCTTTTTTATTGCTTTCTTTTGAATTATGGTAAAGTGCTCGTAGCACACAAGTTACCATCCTGACCATTTTTAAGTGTTCGTTCAGTGATATTACGTACATTCCTAATGTTGTATGGCCATCGCCACCATCCGTCTCCAGAACGTTTTCATCTTACAACCTGAAACTCTGTCCCCACAAAACACTAACTCCCCACCCCCCTTCCCCCAGCCCCTGACGGCCACCACCCCCTCTCTGTCTCCGTGACTTTGACTACTCTGGGGACCTCATGAGAGTAGAATCGTTGTGTTTTGGTGTCTGACTTAGGTCACTGAGCATCATGTCCTGGAGGCTCATGCTGTGGCTCGTGTCAGAATTCCCTTTCTTTTGCTGAGTGACATTCCATTAATGGATGCACCACGTTGTGTGTATCCGCTTGTCGGACACGAGAGTCGCCCCACCTTCTGGCCGTTGTAAGTGGAGCGGCTGTGTGCACAGGCATCTGCTTGGGGCCCGCATTTCAGTTCTCTGGGGAACATGCTCAAGAGTAGAAATCCTGGTGTGGGAGGGGGATGGGCTCAACAGGTGCGGGGCCCTAAGGAGTCTACTCCTGAAATCATTGTTGCACTATATGCTAACTAACTGGGATGCAAATTTAAAAAATAGTTCATTACTTAAAATTGGAAATAATCAAATAAATAGGAAAAAAAAGAGTAGAACTGCTGGATCATATGGTAATTCTATTTTTAATTTTTGGAGGAATTGCCACACTCTTTCCCAAAGCAGATGTACGATTTTACATTCCCACCAACAGTGCAGACGGGCTCTGATGTCTCCACATCCTCACCAAAACCCACTATTTTCTGCGGGCTTTTATTTAATATGGTAGCCGTCCAGGGTGTGGGATGGGCTCTTACCATAGTCTGGGATTGCATTTCCCCAATGACGAGTGACGTTGAGCAGTTTTCCATGTGCTGATTAACCCGTTGTGTATCTTCCTTGGAGAAATGTCTATTCAAGCCCTTTGCCCATTTCTAAATGTTTAAGCGGGTGGTTTGATTTTCGCTGGTGAACTTTAGCTCTCTGTGTAGTATTAATTTAGCTCTCTGCTGGCTATTAATCCCGGAGCAGATACGTTATGTAAATATTTTCTCCCATTCTGTGTGATACCTTTTCATTCTGTTGACTGTGTCCTGGATGGATGGTTTTTAGGTTTTACGTAGAATCTAGATCATCCGTTTTTTCTTTTGTTGTCTGTGCCTTTGGTGCCGTATCCAAGAAATCACCGCCAAACTCAACATCGTCAGCTTTGCGCCCTCCGTTTCCCCTAAGAATTTTATACCGTTAGTTCTTACTGCCTTTAGGTCTTCGATCCACGTTGAGTTAGTCTCGCATAGACTGTGAGGTCGGGGTTCAGCTTCCTTCTTCCGCACGTGGCCGCCCGTTTCCCCGACACTGGTTGTTGAAGAAACCACCTTCCTCCGACGGTCCTGTCCTGCAGCCTCGCAGGGAGGCAGCGACCAGACGCGCTTGTTTCTGGGCTCTCTCTCTACCCCGTGGTCTGCGTGTCTGTCTTTGAGCCGGCGTCACACTGTGTTCACTCCTGTGGTTCGTGGCAGGTTTTGAAGTCAGGACGTGAGAGTCGTGCATCTTCCTTCTTTCCCGAGATCGTTCCTGGGGTCCCTGCAGACTCCACGGGAATCGTAGGACGGGTTTTCCTATTTCTGCAAAAACATGTCATCAGGATGTTGAGAGAGGTGCCCCGAGTCTGCAGGCGGCGCCCACCCTCTCGAGTGTCAGGTCACCGGCGCACGTAACAGGACACGTCCCTTCACCCACGTCTCTCTGTGTCTCAGGGGCAGTGGTCATCGCCTTCGTGGTGTGCTGGCTGCCCTACCACGTGCGGCGTCTCATGTTCTGCTACGTCTCAGACACGCAGTGGACCCCGTGAGTACCAGAGCCGCGGGCGGTGGGGGGTCGGGCTGGGAGAGGCTCCCACGGCAGGTAGGCTGGTGGGTGGGGGGCGCCGAGCAGAGCAGCTCAGGGCAAGGGTGCGGGTCACGCGTCCCCACACGTCCTTGGTGTGGCTGTGACTGGGCTGGGGGAAGGAAAAAGGCCACGGAGGGACAGAGGCCATGGAAGCCGCTCAGCCCAGGGGCAGGTGGCGGCAGAACAGGAAAGCGGACCAAGGGAGTGGGCGTGAGACAAGTTGAGAGACGTCCGGACGGGCGCCCTGCTGGATGTGGGCGGGGGCTGGGCCACCGCAGGTGCGGGAGCTGCTGGGAGCACTCCCAGGACGCATGCGGGCCACACCGTGCGGCCAAAGGACGAGCCCGGAGACCACGTAGAAGCTTCCAGAACACCCTCCCTCCCCTGAGGGCGAGGTACACTGCTGTCCAGGAGCCCGAGGAGGGGTTCCTGCCCTGGCTGTTGGGTTCAGGCCGGGGAGCTGGGACTCCGCACCCGCACGCGGGAGGGCAGGCAGACGGCGCACCCCCCAGGGAGGAGGGCCCAGCCCAGCTGTGCTGAGCGGTACCAGCAGGGGTGAGGGCACAATGTCCAGCCTCTCAAGACAAGCCAGGGTCCTGGAACTTCCCCGGAATGTCCCCATGTCGGAAATTTACGAGTCGTTTCTTAAATCTTAGTCCCAAGCCACCAACCGCGTCTGCGCATCTGCTGCCCGGCTGCCTCCTGCTCGGGGGCCGGGGGGCCGGGGGGCCGAGCACCCACCCTCCCTCCTCCCTCCCAGGTTCCTCTACGACTTCTACCACTACTTCTACATGCTGACCAACGCTCTCTTCTACGTCAGCTCCGCCATCAACCCCATCCTGTACAACCTGGTCTCCGCCAACTTCCGCCAGGCCTTCCTGTCCACGCTGGCCTGCCTCTGTCCCCTGTGGGGGCGCAGGAGGAGGAGGCCGGCCTCCTCCGGGAAGACCAACAGCGTGTCCAGCAACCACACCTTCTCCAGCAACGTCACCCGGGAAACGCTGTACTAGGCGGGTGGGGCCGGCGCACCCCCCAGGGAGGAGGCTGGGGGGTCGGCGCCCCCACCCCCGGAGCAGGAGCGGGGCCCCACTTCTTTCAGCTTCTCCCTCAGCCTGCCCCGCCCCTCCCTCCTCTCCTCTTTGAAAGCCAGAGAGTGATTGCTCCTCTCCCGGATCCAGAAAGGGCCTTTAATGAGGAGAAATCAGTGGTGGGTGAAGGCAGACTTCTTTGTTCCCAGACGGCTGTGTTGAGAGAGGACAGAAATGAAAGGCACAGGCCGGGCGGGCGTTGGGAGGCGGCGGCCCCCCCAGAGGCGGCAGTGCCGGGAGAGGGGGAGTGCTGGCCACGGTCCTGGCACCGGAGGGAGCGAGGAGAGCACCCCTACCCTCCTGCGGTACTGCAGGCAGCCAGACTGCCACCCTCCAAGGGCCATTCCCAGGGACTTCCATGCGCCCCAGCGGGCCACCCGGGACTCAGGCCGTCGGCCGGACCCAGGCCTCCTTCGCCCCCTTCCTCGCCAGGCTCTGCAGAGTTGCAGAACTCTCCGGAAGGCCTCTTGGCTTGGCAGAGTTAGTGGAATCTTGTCTCCAGCCCAGGCCAGGCCAGGACGTCCCGCGTGCCCTTGTCCGCTGTGCGGGTGAGCTCCCCTGCTCGGCTCCCTGGAGTGGAGGCCAGTCGGCCAGGTCCCAGAGAGATGCCAGCTCTGGGGACTCAGCGGCAGGGGAGGAGGAGGAGCCATGGGTACAGCCCGTCTGTCACGGCCGGCGGGCCGCAGCCCCAGCTCCAGGGACACAGAAGGGCAGGCGCCTCCTTGGTCTGTAAGAGCCGGTCTCCAGACAGGATGGCCTGGGCCTGGCCTTGCCCTAGAAGTTCCCCTGAGCCAGGGGAAGACAGTGGCAGAAGGGCCTGGAAAGTGAGATGCACTTTTAAAGGTAGGTTCTCGCCTGGCTTAGGAGCATATTTGGCCTGAAGGGAGATGGTCACGCCGGCCGACTGCTGCGAGCAGCCCTGACTTGGGACTCAGGAGGCCGGGTCCCTGTCCTGGGTGACCAAGGCTCGATGTCGCCCCAGCATGAAAACAAGCTGGATGGGACGACGTCGATGGGCATCTTACTATGAACCGTGTCCTGCTTAAACCCCACAGGGTCCTTCCCCATTCACCAAGGACAGCACCAGGGTGGGGGGTCAGCCCACAGTGGGTCCTGTGACCCAGGGGCCATCCACACAGGGGACGAGGCCAGCCCAGACCTCGCACACAGCATCTGCTCTGGGCGGGTGAGCAGGGCAGCTGGGCAGCGAGTGGGCATCTGTTTAGCAAAGGCTGAGGCTGGGCCCGGGCAGTGGGCGTCAGAACGAGGGCCTGGGCTCGTTCCTGGAGGCCCTCAGACCCTCCCTGTGCTCCGGACCTTGGGCCTGGATCCTCCGCTCGGCCACCTGACAGATGGGTGTGGTCGTTCCTGCCTCTGGGCCGGGACACGTGAGTCCGGTGGACCCAGCGCAGGATGGACAGAAGGGGCGGTTCCCTGGGGTGGGGGCAGGGTTGACGCAGGATGGGGACACCCCACCATCCCGGAGCCTCCTGGACACAGCGGGGCGGGGTCTGTACTGCAGCCCAAGTCTGTTTGACTCTCGCCGTCTTCGCCTTCCTGTGTGCCCGCTTCGTGCAGGTAGAGCCACAGCCACGCGCAGCCCCTGGTGCCGTCCAGCCCCATAGAGTCGGTTCCTGGCCACGTCACACGCAGCTCCAGAAGCCGGTGTCCCATGTGACTGGCCAGCAGTGATGCTGAAACCCCGTCATGTGGCTTGAGCCCCCCGCCAACTGTGACGTAACCAGCAAGAACAAAGCCACCGAGCCCTCAATAAAGGAGCCGTGGCCCCCGTGGCTGGGATCCAATGTCCAGGGGCCAGTGCGCCCACATCCATTCATCCACTCATTGGTTTATTGAACAGGCATTTACTGACGCAGCAGCCAACCCTCCCCGGGGCCCTTTTACCAACCACGTGCTCTTTGGTGGTGGCTCCTGAAGGCTGGGGGGCAGGGGGCTGGGGTCCCCCGGCTCGGGGCCTCTCCCCCCACCAGGGCTTCAAGAAACAGCAGCGGAAGAAGGAACTTCTGCAGAAGACCCTGAAAGCTGTGGGCCCCCGAGGCCTGAGGCAGGGACACATGAGCCCACCCCACTGTGCAGCCAGCATGCTGTCCCCCCCCCCCCCCCCCC